ACGACAAAAGATCAATTTGATTATGAACTTGACCCATAGGGCGTTAATGATTTGTTCAAATAACACCTTGAAAGATGAAATCAGTTGTTTAACTGAGATCTTTGTGAACAATGGTTATCCGTTGGACATTGTTCAATCGGTTATTCGCGATAAGACTGCCAGGTTAAATAAAATCAAACCTGCTTCAGTGGGTAAATGTCCGATCTATCTTCGTTTACCGTGGTTGGGTAGGATTAGTGAATCCTTCGCCAAGCGTATTTCATGTAGTTCACGTGAGTTATTTTGCAGCGAACGTTCGTTTTGTTTTTCAAACTAAGTCCGTACTTTCATCTCTGTGTAAAGATGTTCTACCCACCCACCATATTAATTCTGTTATTTACCATTTCAAATGTAGTTGTGGATGCGATTACATAGGTAGAACGACACAGCGGTTGGTCGTTAGATTTAAACAACACGTACCTGCTATAATACTGAATAAAAAATTTTCTTTGGGCGATACCATTCGTAACACGTATGGGTCTTCGATTGCGGATCACTTTATAAAGAATCCCACTTGTGCGATGGATTTCAGTGTGAACTGGTTTTCCGTTTTCGCCAGAGCACACTCATTATTCCATCTTAAGGTGTTGGAGACGCTGTACATCAAGGCCAGGCGACCTGCTCTTTGTAAACAAAGAGATTGTTTGCTTGGACTTGCTGTGCTGCGCTTCTAGCATCTTTGTTGGTATAATTTTTATAATTATTTTTTTTCTTCTACCTGTCCATTCATTCACGTCATCCATACCAGACTTTCTTTTTTTTTCTCTTCATAATTTGTGCTCACCGTTAACAGTTCTGATGAGAGGGGACGAAACCGGTCGACTAGTGTGTGTTTTTGTTGTTATTTTAAATCTATCATGGCCTATAATGTAATAAAATTTATTGCTTTTTATGCCATAATACGTTTCTGTACTGTTTCAAACACACACACACATATATGAGTATGATTCCTCACCGGTAGCACGACTCGGAGTTTCAGGCACAACGAAATATTCAGATGCTGATTATGGACTAACCGTTACATTTTTTTTTTAAATACATATACAAATCCCGTTTATTTTAATTTCAAAATATAATTTTTTAAATAAAAAAAAAAAACAAAACCCTATAATCCCAGCATAATATATAACTGCGCCAGCATTGAGCTAGCCAAATATAGATTTTTTAAATTCAAATTACGTAATGATCAGTTCATACTCAGCACCTGATGATTGCATTATGTATGAAATACTGAGTCGTGCTATTGGTGATGGATAATATTTTATATATATTTCGCGTCAGAATCCATCTTGCATTTGTCCGTGCATTGAATATTTCTACCATATCTGGTCTGGTGCTCCTACTATATATTACGTGATTCTTGATAAAATTTAAATGGTCTGTAATATAATCGATCCTTACCTGACATCTCGACTTCAGTCACTTTCTCGCCGACGTGATGTGACTTTCCTCTGTCTTTTCATGGCAACTGTTCTGATCAGCTTTCCTCCTTAGTGATTCGACTGCATGAATTTAAGTGGGGTACTAGATTGGCAACTAGGTCTCACCGTTTTACTGTTGAACTAACTAGTAGCAACCGTGTGTTCTATTCTAGTTATCTCTTTTTTTTCTTTGTTTTTTTTTTCGCACTTCTCGCCACTGGAACACTTTTTCGATTTCTTGCTTTCCCGCCACTTACAATCTTCAAAAATTCAAATGCAACGTCAATCGTCATCTTCTTCCTGAAACCGAATCTTTTATTTTCCTTTTCCTCACTAAAGTCTTATTCTCTTTCACTCCCTCCAACTTACTGCGTCTTAGAGGCATTATCGCCTTGCTTGAGATGAAGTGATTATATATTACGAGGTTATGCTGAAAAGTTCTGTTCGATTCGTTCTCCAAAATCTGAATAAACATAATATTTTTGAAAACCTCCTTGGTTAGACTGGGAACTTATCAGAACATCTGCGTAACATTCTTAACGGTTTTGAAAGGCATACAATAAACAAAATACTAAAACTACTTACTAAAATAACATTGAGCTTTCCAAGCGTTGTTCCATACATGTGATAGTAGAACATAAAACAATATTCTGTGTTGCTTTGGAAAGGGCGGGAAACCAAAATAGCCTTATCTCCTTTTTTTCTGGGTTTTGAAGACTCTATGTAGATATACCAGCCCAAATCTGGAGAGAGAGAGAGAGAGAAAATAGAAGGAAAATGGGGATAAATTTTCCTCCATTATTTTTATTTTATTCTTTAAAAGATTATGGATATCTACCAAACCAATATCAAAATAAAGTAAGCAAATAAAAACAGTGATGTAAACAAATTTTCTCAGTTATTTTTTATTATTTTAGCGTGGGGTACTTGACGACTCTGTAGATATACAAACCCGAAGCTGAAGAGAAAATAAAATCGTAAGTAAAAAAGCAAAATAACGTATATTCTGGATACTTATTCACTTATTATTGAATTTATTTATGAAAAGTGAGTTTTGTCAGAAGAAATTTAAAACCGGTCTTAAATTTTTGGAAAATTTAAAATATCTTTTGAACACTTAATATTTACATTTTTAAACTCCCCAGAAAAATCAAATCGATTTAAAATTTAATTTTAAGCTGCACAACATTTATGTCATGAATCAGAAAATAAAACTAAAATAATTTTTTTTTTTTGAGTGATTTTTTAAAAAAATTTAAAATATTCTGCAGACTGCAGGTTGTGAAAACAATCGCTGATATTTTTTTATCAAAGATTTATTTTAATTTATTTATTTACTAAATATTTTTAATATTCTAAATTATCTGTTCTTTTGGAAAATGTTGAATTACTGGTCTTGTTACTGGTTACTCCGATCCCTTGCGAGGATCTTGTTTATATTATTTGGACTATTGTCCTCATTTTTGTCGCCATATTTATTACAACGTTTCGGCTGTTGTAAGCTCCGGTGGATGCCCTCAAGGACACATGGCACAGTGGATAAAGGCGTTGGTTAGATCCAGTGACAGGACCCAAAGAGTGTGAGTTCAATACCCGGTTAAGGCAGTGGAGAACTTTCGGAGGGAAATTAACAGGAGATAACTGATAACCGACATCCATTAAACATAGCACGTGGAACTAGAACAGTCTACCCCAGTGAGCGAAATAAAGGGTTCAGTTCGACATTCCAACCACCTGAAGACGGCCGGAGCGTACAACGGCCGAAACGTTGTAATAAATATGGTGACAAAGATGAGGACAATAGTCCGAAAAATGTAATGTACGTAATATCTCATCTCAGAAATATAGACAGATACTGCTGGTCTTTAATAATCATATTTTGATAATTGAGAAATGTTTAAGACTGTCCGTCATTGCTGACGACGAGGCTGTCCTGTGGGCTGCCAAGTGAGATAGCAGGTCGATCAGCGAGTGATAGGTTCTCAGGCATAGATGGCAAGGAAACATGCCCGGTGCGGGACTGGGAGTTGCAGATGACGCTGGCGTCGCCTCCCGTCGAGCGCTCCTAGTCGAAGTGCGCCACACCGGCGAAGCAGAGACCACCAGCCGGTCCGATCCCTTGCGAGGATCTCTAATTGTGTTGGGTTAATGTTGCAAGAGATAAGAGCACGCTTAAGATAGTCTCGGAATCGTTTATTTGGGCCTCCACGTGGGCAGCTGTTGGTTTCGTGCTCTCCGAACAATATAATTTTAGGGAAACGATGGCTCGACATCCGCAAATGTCCAAATATAATATTCAAGAACGGATATGTCTGTTGTCAGAAAGGAATGTATGTGCCCATTTTACTTTCTGTCCCGATTTCTCGTATGAGGATTTATCATGATTTACATTATTTACATGTGGATTATTGCCTCATCTTTTTACTTGTTATCACAACGTTTCGAATAATATGCCCTCGAGCCTTCGTCAGTAGATTAACGATCAGCGTAACTTACAGGCGTAGATTGTTCTCGTTCAACTGCCCATATCTAGGGATATCTTGTCTAGTTCTTATTTTATTACAGCTCATTTATTGCTCGCCATGTTTCCACTTAGTCCAAAATACACAATTCCCGGCCTATTCATGAATCAACACTTTAATTAATCGCCTATAGCAGTTAATGCTGGATAATCGTCTCACAGCTGAAGGGGAGACTTGAAGCAACAGAATGTGGTTCTACAGAAGGATGCTGATGAAAACAAGGACTGAACATGTGAGTGAGCAACGACAAAGTTTTAGAGAAAATGGAAACAAAAAGGAAACTTCTACTTAACATAAGGAAGAGACAGTTGAAATTTCTGCGACCGATAAAGTGGAAAGAAGTCTTAGAAAATGTGCTACTTACGGAACTGATTGAAGGCAAGAGGGACAGAGTAAAACGAGGCATAACTTACTTAATGAGCTTTGGGTAAATGGCTGGAGGTACAACGTTTAGGAGAAATGATAAAGACAAAATTGATTAAGAGTTACAATGGTCAGAAAATTGTGGAAAGCCATGATCGCCCACGTCCTGAAGGGAAACGGCACATAATGAAAAAGAATGTGATATTTAGATTCATTGTAAAAGGAATTATATTCTAGATTGAAACACTTTATATATATATATATATATATATATATTTGTGTGTGTGTGTAGTTTATGAAAAAATTTGTTATCTTTTCATTTAATATTTTAATTTTTTATGTGCGCGCAGGTGGTGAGGCGTTATTCTGCTTTTATACTGATTGATCGTTTTTTACGGTTTATCAACCATATGCAGGTTATTTAAAGCCAGTAAATATTTTTACATCGTAAGAGTTCTTTTGGGGGAAGTAATAATTATTTAGTGAAACAAGTCTTAATAATTAACCCATAGCTCGGGGAGAGAAGAGGTGGATTTATACCTTCCCTAAGTGTATTTGCGCGCAAGTGAATATAAGGAAGCCAACGGGAATTGGAACTTGTCTTTCCGAGTAACAATTCCGAGCTATTATCCATTACACCACTCGTACATCCAAGCTTACAGCATCTGGGATTCCCAGGCGGTCACCTCTCTAAGTACTGATCAGGCTTGTCGTTGCTTAACTTCCGTGATTGTAGGGGAACTGATGTTTCAACATGATATGGCCGTAAGCCGTTATTCTGCATTGTAGATATATGATTAAAAAATAAGTTCAACGTAGTATTTCGTATATGTGATTCATTTTTTACTTGGAAGAAAGAATTGTTCTCTTTCGTACAGTTCTGTTATTGCCCCTCTAGTATCCACAGAGTCTGGTCAAGATTTAGGTGAGAGAGTCATAAATATGGACAGTAGAATAAGAATAATTTACCCCCTCGACTGCTCGCGATTGAATTGTCGAACTCTCTGTCTTTGGGCAGAGAGAATCCAAACGAGGGTATGCTTACGAGCAGAGTCTGGGTTCGTAGACAAATACCACCCCGTATATTCGAGGTCTACGGTGAATTTTTGCCCGAGCTAACGGACTTGGTTTCGCCCTACGTAAAAACCGACCTTACGATCAGGTTTGGTAAATATCATCTTCTCTACCGTAGACTAAAAAAAATGGTTCAGTTTGAAATTTCCTGGCTGTTAGGATCGACAGAAACCTGAAGAAACCGGAGGGTACTAGGACTGAAACCTTCTAACAATAAGAATAAGAAATGAGGACATTAGTCTGATTGTAAATAATGAAAATTATATATATATATATATATATATATATTCATCTGTCTGTGGCTTTGTCGCCTGCAGCAAGGCAGGGCTCGTATCGCACTTAAGAAAGCACAAATGAAATATATCCTTCTCTTACCTGATTTTCTCCAAAATAGTCCCTGCTAGCATGCATAAGTGTAAAACGAAAGGCACCATCCAATGCTGGCCCTCATTTATCGTTTTGTAAGGCATAAAACCTGTCACATAATGTGTTTGTTCATCTCTAAGAGTGTAGACCAGAGACGCTATTCAGACTTTGCGTGCACAATCCGAAAATATGTCCGCATAAAAAATACATAGTAAACATGTTAGTTATTTCAACTAGCTCAGTAATAAAAAAAAAAACATTGTTGCAATGATCACCGATATTTTTAATAAAACTTTAAAACATATTGCAATAATTTAAATATCTTAAATTTTTAACTTCGTTTATGCTATTGTGGACTCTTCCACAACAAGCGAGTTAACCTCTGCTAGCAAATGCACTATTCTTGTTATAATTTTCACCATCACCATCTTACAAATATATAACAAACATTCATTGGTCAAACACCTTCAAACTAGCTCGTTGATTGGTCAGTTCCGACCAATCAAACCGCCTGCACGCGACAAATCTGTTTTACCGCGTTTTCTTTCTGAGCCAGTCACGTGATTCACGATGATATATAAACAGAACACGTGTAAACTCCCACGAGTTTCTTTTCTGTTATCTCTCTCGCGTCTCATTCCATGCAACCAAATACCAAGATGTAATCTTCAAGAACTCCCGTCTTAACTAATGCATTCAGACGTTAAAGACCATTATCAACATTCACGCAAGTACGAACTCTGAAATCTCTTCTGAACTTTTACCAACAATACACAATTTCAAACACGCTAAAGAAACTTTATTCTTCTAAACTACAGTTTAAGAATTACTTTCACTTTATGAGCTCAAATACAAATATTTACCTAAGCTAAGAGACAACTGTCTAACTTTTCAGTTCACATGCATGTATATCAAACATTAATAAATTCAATTGTTATGTTTTGAAACAAGATGTTTATGAATCTTTATTATTCTCTATCTTGTATTAATTGTTGTGGATGGAAGATTATTGAACACACACAATTTTAAGCCTTCTGATAATTCAAACTTTCTATTCCTCTCCAACACACACATCACACATATCCGCAACACTATGACTGATATTTGCCAATAGAAAATGTTGCAATTAAAACTTGCAAAAACAAAATAAGTGTTACAGGAATATCAGATTTGACGAAAATTAGTTGCTTGAAGGATGATCGGATTATTTCATTTGAGTTTACTTAAAATACATTGGAAAACTTTTTTTTTTTTTAAACCGCGTGTATTTTCCTTGTCAACTGAGTTCAAAGAGCATGTGGGTATTGAGACAGCTTTTCTTACCTCTAAGTGATAAAAGTTTGCATAAATTTATGAGCAAGACAATTATAAATATCAAAATGTGATAAAACATTCCCACAAAGGCAAATATATATATATCTAACATTAAAATGCCATCAGATAAAAGGCAACAATTTAATTGTTTGCTAATGCGCTTTAAAAAAAAATATTTACTTGTTCCAGTGGTGTGGTCATGATCAGGTCCAGTCCAACTTGATCTCGTGGCTCCGTGCCAGCGTTTCCAATCGAAATTATCTGACTCTGATTGGCTCCAAGTACATAAATCATGTTCGAATGCGCAGTCGTAAGTTGAATTCCGAACTGAAAAACAACCGTAAAGAAAGAAAGTGAAAGAAATAAAATAAATGACATCATGAGAAGAAATTCAATTCTAGCTTCAGATTTTAGAACATCATGCAATTACCATATCTGTCGGCATGAAAATCCCACAGGATTTCAGCAGAGCGTATTCGGAAAAATTCAGTTGGATATCTATTTGTTCTATCTAAATAAAGCGCAGTGTACGTGTTTCCGTCTGTCCGTCCGTTTTTCGATCTTGGTTAATTATAAACAACCTGATGTAACAGGTAGTGACTACTGTAATTACACTCATTTAAAGTTAAATTTAAATATTGAAGAGGATGAAAGGTTTAAAAAACAAGACTTTATTAAAGGTTTAACTTTAATTTCGCTTTTCGTCGCAATTGCAATTGTTATCATCTAATTAAACTGTAATAAAAAAAACTTAAGTACGTTGTTCATATGTTTCTTTTTCTGGCACGCGTGCTATGACGTATTTGAAATATTACTTAGTTCGGGTTCCCTAATATCTTTTAAGAGTGAATTTAAGTGAAGGGATCATAAAGAATGCTGATTTTAAAAGAAAATAAAAAATGCGCACAAAATAAATGTAAAGAAACTACGGAGATCGGTTGCGTATACGAAGAAAGATTATGTCGAATTAAAGTGTCGAATAAAATTAAATAGTTTTATTATTTCTAAATTCTTATAACTTTTGTGTACATAGGACGCTGAAGGCAAAATGCCGAAGGCCCAAGAGCCCTCCGCATGAGCTAGCCTAAAGTCCACCCAAAGGATGTTTTATGGGTTAGTAATAAATATAATAAATAGCGGGAAATAATAATGGTAATTTTAACCGTTTCCTAATAAGGAAACATTCTATAGTTATTGACCGAATCGTCAGTTGGTTGAAATTTCATCACCTGAGATTAAAAATATTCTTTCTTAGACTCCCTCTATAACGATTTAATTTTTGTACAAATACTTTTATTTACTCCCGATAGTATGGTAATGGTTAACTAAATTTTGAAGTCAAATATCTCAAAATGACAAAAAAGGCGGATGGAACTTTTTTTTTTAAATTTCGGGTGACGATTTATAAAATCTTTCTATTAAACAATTTTTCAGGGAAACAGGTGTCTCAATTCGAGTAACTCTTATCGCTCTTTCCAGTCATTTTTTCCTTCCTAACCTTTGGTGCGAAGTAGTGTGGAACGTCAGGATCTTGATCATGCCATTATTTTCTCTTCGAGTTACATAGGATATCCATTTTACTTGTTGCTGTTGTTGAAAGTCCTCAAGTTATGTGGTTTCTGTTACAGTACGTTTTGATTATGTAGCGCCAGTCCATGATATTCGAAGAAGGATAACCCTCGCTAAAACCTATATGCTTCATTCGTTCGAAGCCATTTTTTTACGATTAATCTGAGAAAGCGGTTGTATGCAGCCGACAATTTAGATATTTCCTAATGAGTTTAGCACCATGCATATGAAAGTCTCCATCTGACGAGGTTATTTAAGAACATGACTAGTTTTCAGGATTATGTTTTGGCTTCCTTTCTATTTGCAGTGCTGTGAGAAACCATCCGTAACTAATCAAAATAAACAAAAAATCAAACAGAAATTTAAAAAAAAAAACAAAAAAAACTGTTAGTATGGCCCGTCCGACTCATATAAAGAAAAGCGTCCGCTGTATTTTGCTGATAAGCAGTCAAGAACCTCACTGACTAGTGGCCGAAGAGGGACAAATCTATTTGGGAATATGGAAATAGATAAAAGCTGATCTAATCAAGATAAAATAAAAAAACGAAGATAAAAACTCATATCATTATATAATTAATCTTGATAAGAATCATAACAAAAGATAATGTCGGGACCCTGCCTGAAACGACGGTCACATTAACTAGGCGAACAAAAAGAGACTAGCTTAACCAGGAATGGGGTCCAACACATAAAAGAAGTATGACCAATAGGATCACTTAGATTATAACAGACTGGTGTGTTACAAGAGCTCTGACCTTTTTATGAATCCTTGGGTATGTGATATTAATTAGGGTAGGCGGAACACATGAGCAGTGGTAACAGTTGTAATGTAGCCACCCAAACATTCGACAATAACGAGAAACAACTTGTAATTTAAAAGTACAAACAAAGGCTATCTTACCAAATGAAGGAGTAACAGTTATTGGAGTTTGTGTTGTTGGCGGCCTGACATGTGCAGGGTCAGAGTTGACTGGGAATCCTGCAAAGAATAAATAATGCAAGGTTTGACGAGTTGTTTGCCATAATGTTCTCGTTGTTTTTTTTAATAAATCACTACGTATTGGCTGATACATTCTACCGCCTTCCTAATGTTTTCTGAAATCCTGTGATATTTCTGTACGCTTATTTATGAGCTAAAAATAATATATGCGATATAAATAATTTACAGTATAAATTATGGCGTTTATTTGACAAATTTAAAAGTTTAACAGAAAATTCTATTTTTATTGCCATGAGCTTCCAAAACAGAGATAGGATAATGTGCACATCATAATGAAATGAACACTTCTAGTGATACAGAAAATTACATACGTGTACACGAAAGAACACACACTCTCTCTCTCTCTCTCTATATATATATATATAGATACACCTAGGGTTTTTCGAAACGAGTCTAGTTATTTATATTTATATATATATATATATATATATATATAGAAACATGTT